GTGTCGCGAGAGAGGTGGGGCGGAGGTGACTGGGGGAGAGTCCGGTAGCCCCAAGCACTGGGATTTTATCAGTCTCATCTCAGATGCTGTCACTCACCCGGAAAAGTCCTAAAACGCCCTTTGCTTCCGCTTCTGAAGCAGAGGGATGTGGCAGCAGCTGTCTGGGGCAGATGAAGACTGGGTCTGAGGACGACGGAGGAAAAGTACCAGCTGGAACTGAACGGGTCAGAGGAGAGCTAGCAGGGCGGGGAGGCGGGAACATCCACCCAGACGCCCAGCCTGCACCCCCGGGCTGGAGACGCAGGCGGTGGGAGCAGCTCCATCAGCTGGCAAGGCAGGAGAAATACCTCATTTCATAGGAGAGGAAGACCTTCCTTTTCACAACCTTTTGAAGAATCTCAAGGAGAGGTTATCTCTCAGAATTTAAAATGGATTGAACCCCTTATGTAGGTGAACTTGTGTATTAGATCCACTATATATGCTATATATACGTGAAGCCACTATATACGTGAAAATAAGAGATTAATATTAGGTCTGCCAGAAATAACGGCTATTAATGCAATGAACAGCATTAACTACAGCTAATTAATCACAACAGCATTAAGCGTCTACTTTGTTCTCGGTCCTGCACTGCAATCTTTACCTGTATTATCTCACTTAACCTCTCAACAATTCTATCAGAGAAGTACTTGGAGCATGCCCATTTGACAGACAAGGACACTGAGGCTCAGAGAAATTAAGCGCCCAAGATTGCCCGGCTCATAGGAGGCTGAGCCAGGACTGAAATCTACAGCCATGTGACTCCGTAATGTGAGGCTCTGGCTGGAAGGGGTGACTCACTCATGTTTTCAGTGAGTATCTTTCCAACTAGCATGTTGAGGACGGCCTCAGACAGGAAAGGAGTTAGGAAGAGGGGAGAGGAAATAGCCACCCCTTCTGGCCCCAGCGTACGTGACTGTGCGGGGCTCTGTGACCACCGTCTAGCCTTGTTCCTGGTCTCTTCGAGCACAGGCTGTGAGGGGGGCGGGACCTGTAGACACGGGAAGACTGGATTCTGGGCCCCCTTCTCTCCCATTTCCCCTGCAGAGTTCATCCTGTGGGGATTATTAAGCGAATCAGTCCCAGACTCCAAGCCGAGCATAAACCATGAGACAACTGGTTTAACTGTAGATTCAGCGGGAACACACACATATATCCAAGGGGCCACGAGTACCTTTCATTCCTGAAGAATCAACCCAGGTCACTGATTTTTAAGGTAAACCTTGATGTGCATCAGAACAACCTGAAGGGCTTTTTAAACTCCAGCTGGCCCGGCCCCACCCCCAGAGCTTCCGAACTGTAGGTGCGGCCTAAGAATCTGACCCACAAGTTCCCGGGGCTACTGACACAGCTGGCTGGGGGACCACGTTTGAGAACCACCATTTTAGGGCATGGGAGCTTTTGCTGTGTCTGTTATTTCATTTTCTATGGAAATCAGGGGTCGAAAATGGGTCTGCAAGGGCTGTCCTCCGCGATGGAGACGCTGGGGGGGAGTCCAGTTCCTCACCTTTCCCAGCTTCTAGAGGACGCCCGTTTCCTTGCCCGGTGGCCTCTTCCTCCCTCCTCCAAAACAGCAGCGGCAGAGAATCTTCAAACCTCTCCCTCACTCACTCACACACAATCCTCCGTCTCTGGAGTCACCTCTCCTCTGACTGTTTCCCTCTTATGAGAACCCTTGTGACGGCACTGGCCCACGCCAACTGAGCCCACCTGGGTAATCCAGGCTAATCCTTCCATTTTAAGATCCTTGACTTAATCACACCAGATTCTGGGCCTCAGGAGGTGGGCATCTTTAGGGGCCTTCATTCCATCCACCACCCCAGCTGTCCGACAGCTGCTCACCCTCCACAGAGGTCCCTCCTGTCCCCAAAGAGAAACTGAAACTGTACCAGGATATGCATGATGCAACCCCTTCTTCAGACTCTTCTGGAAATGAAGCAGTCTTGCAGAGACAGAGGAACAGGAGCGGAGGAAGGCAGACCTTGGGAGCCCAGGGGAAGAGAGGAGGCACTCATGCAGGGCCCACAAGGTGAGGCTCTTAGACCAGGCCCACAACACCTCCTAATCTCCCCACACTTGCTGGACTTTCTAGAACGTAGAGCCTAGGTCCCTCCTCTTCTGAGCCGGGAGCCTCAGTGTCCCCACTGGGCTCATGAAGGTCAGCCCTCACCCCAGACTCCGCCACCAGCCCCACCTTCCAGACCTGCCGGGGGGCCGCTGGTCACAGACATGGAAAGAGGAACTGTGAGAAAAGCTTGCCTGCCTTTTCAGTTTCCGATTATGACCTTCAGAATTTTCTGGGCTGAAATCCCGGCCTCTGGGCTGTGAACTTGCTGTCGGCAAGTGTGTTCATATGCTCGGGCTGCAAACAAGCACAAAATCTGGAAATTTATGTTCTCACAGTCTGGGGCCCGGACGTCCAAGGTCACGGTGGGGGAAGGCCGGTTCTCCCCTTGCCTTGCAGGCGGCCGTCTTCCCTGAGTCTGCACACCTCCTGGTGTGTCTCTCTTCTATTAAGAACCCAGTCATATTGCATTCCAGCCCGCCCTCATTTTACCTCAGCTTAAATTAATCACCTCTTTAAAGACCTTATCTCCAAGTGCAGTTGCGTCTGGAAGAATTGAGAGTGATGATTTGAATATGTGAATCTGAGGAGGGGACACACTCAACTCATCACAGTGGGCTGGGACCCCAGGAGGCTTCTGTCCTCTCTTGGTGGAACTGGGGCGGGTGTGGGGAGGGGAAGGCCAAGCCATTGACTAGCAAAGTGTGTGCTTTCCGTCAGGGATGTGGGGGTTTGGGGGGTGGGGGGAAGGCGAAGGAGTTCAGTGACACGCCCCTAGGCTGAGTCTTATCTGTGTTAAGCAAGAAGCAACATTTAAGCCTCACCCTCCCGAGAGGTGATTCCCTGCAGAAGGTTTTTTGCTTGATACACAATTCACAGAGAGTCACAGAAATTCCACCAAGTCAGCACTCACCCTGGACACAGAGGAAATAAAGGAACAGACAGTGAGGGCTGGTGTTCACTGCCCTTGGAAGGGGCTGTGTGGTGGAAAATGATTTCATTCTCAAGGCATGGCTCCAAGAAAGAAGTCAAACAGCCCACAAGTTGAAACAAACCAAACAGCCTTATCTTAGTCTTGATTCATGGGTTCCTCTCTCTTCAAAGCTTTTTAGAGGTAGGACGCTGTGAGCTGTCATTGGAGTGACTGTGGTTGCAAGGTCCTGCTCGGGACCTTGCATCTGTGACTCAGGAGGCCTGGAATCTCTGACATTTTTCCTTCACAAAACTTTGCTCCTCGTTGGTCCGACTGTACCTGATGTGGGCTTAAACGTGTATATACACACATGTATACACTAGTGAAATAAGCCAGTCACAAAAAGGACAAACGCTGTAGGATTCCACGCACATCAAATCCATAGAGACAGAAAAGTAGAAAGGTGATTGCCAGGGGCTGGGGAAGTTCTTGTTTAATGAGGAAAGAGTTTCAGTTTCACTGATGAAAAGGGTCTGGAGACGGTGCACAACGGTACTCACCGAACTGTACTCAAAAGGGGTTAACATGGTGAGATTCATGTTACGTGTATTTTAGCAGCAATTTTTTTAAGGCTGCTGGAAGCAGTCGTGTAATAGAACAAGCACAGGGGTGGGGTCAGGCCAACCCAGGTTTGAGTCCCACATGGGCCCCTCACTAGTGTCGGGACAGTGTTCTAAGTTTTTTGCTTAGTGACTTAAAAACCCAGCAAGCGTGCTATTATTTCTCCGTTTCTACGGGGCAGGAATTTGGGTAGTTCTGGCTCAGCGTCCCTCCCGAATCTGCAGTTGGGCGGGGGGCTGGGACGCTGGGGGCTGGCTGAGGGGCTCTCTCCCCTCTTAGAGCCTCCAGGCCTCTGCGTGTGATCTTCCCCCGCCGCAGACTTGGGCTCCCCTACGGCACGGCGGCCACGGGGCAGCTGGGTGCTTCTGTGGTGGCCAGGGCTCCAGGCAGGCAGCGGTCCCGCGGACAAGGGGTAAAGAGCACCACCTGTTCTGATGAGCCTTGCAGGTCATGCAGGGTCAGCTCCTTCACACTCTTTTGGTCACAAGCAAATAAGACACTTCCGCAAATTCAAGGGGAGGGGAATTCAACTCCACCTCAAGGTGGGAAGTGGCAAAGTTCTAGAGCAGGGTTGGCAAATTATGGCCCCTGGACCAAATTGGGCTCCCCTCTCCAAGACAGCTCTGCCCATTTGGTTACATATTGGTTCTGGCTTTGTCACAATATCAAAATCGAGCATCTGGGACAGAGGCTGCGTGGTCTGCAAAGCCACAAATATTTACCATGCAGCTTTTTATAGAAAAACTTCCTGACCCCTGTTCTAGAGGAACATGGAAGATGTTGTTAGAGCCATCTTTGGAATATGCCATGGCCACAGCAGGCTACGAGCCTCCCTGAACTTTACCTGCATCTCCGAGTCTGTAAGATAAAATGACGATCATGTGTAAAAAGTATTTAGTGCAATTCCATGCGTACAACAGGTAAAATATACAATTTAGTTCTTCCCTTTCCAGGCTTAGTTATGCTTTGAGAGTCACAGAGAAGTGTTTACTGCCACTGCAGGTCTACCAGCAGTTGGAAATTCCCAATTTTAGACGTTCCTTGGAATTAAGGCAGATTTTACAGAGACCTTCTCTTTTTGGTTTGTTTTTTAATTGAAGTATAGTCTGTTTACAGTGTTGTGTTAATTTCTGTTGTACAGCACAGTGACTCAGTTATGCATACATATCCCTTTTTGTATTCTTTTCCACTATAGGCTATTACAAGACATTGAATATAGTTCCCTGTGCTGTACAGTAGGACCTTGTTGTTTAGAGACCTTCTTTTTAGTTTTATTTGGGGTGAGGGGAGGTAATTAGGTTTATTTACTTATTTATTTTAATGGAGGTACTGAGGGTTGAACCGAGGACCTTCTGGCATGCTAAGCACACACGCTACCACTGAGCTATCCTCTCCCCGCAGCCAGACCTTCTTTTTAAATATTTATTACTCTGGAGGAAGGAAATGTTTGCAAGAATTCTTTAAAAAATGCACCCCACCCCCATCTCCCAATGCATTCCTTTATCAGATTAGCTAGATTTTTACCTTTCAAAGAGCAAGTACTTAAGGGACTGAAGAGGATCTGGGAAATCTGGAATGAGCGCGGTGGGGGTGGGGGGAACAGCACGAGCGCTGCAGCTCTCCTATTTCCTAGAGAGACTCATGAAATCTGACCCACTTCACAGTTGTGCGCTGGACACCTTAGCCTCAGACAAAGCAATGAAAAATGCTTCCTGGGCCTCCCGTTCCCCGTCACCTCCCTTTCCGATTGTCCGGACTCGCTCTCTCCGCCCGGGCCTCCTCCACTTGCCAAGATCCCCCTTGGATTTTTTCGCCCCTCCCTGGTGTTTCCAAGGCCCACCCTCCAGCAGCTCCCTGAGAGATAATCTGCTTGTGACCAGCTTTCCTCCCTGCTCCAAATTCAAATAGGGCCCCCCTGGAGCCTATATCTTCAGTGATTCAGAACCTTTTCTCTCTAGAAGCACGCTTCTATCCAAGAAAATAGAGGCCCCCAACAGGCACGCGCTATGGTTACCGTCAGACCGGCCAGTCCCAACTTTTCTACTCATTTACTCAAAAACCACCAAAATTAACAACTGTATTTGGGCATCATTTAACAAAAGTTATTTTGTCCCCTCTCCAAGTTATGTTTGACTTTGACCACTTTTAAAATCTATTTAGAGGGGGAGGGTAATTAGGTGCATTTATTTATTTTAATGGAGGTACTGGGGATTGAACCCAGGACCTCCTGCTTGCTAAGAATGTGCTTTCCCACTGAGCTGAACCCCCACCCCCTCACCCCCACCCCGTCACCATATTATTTTTATAATAATATTATGAGTGCTTTGGGGGCAGTTGGGAGGGGAAGTGTGCAACTGGTTGATTAGAGACCATTCCCTTCGGCCCTATTAAATTTTACAGCATTTTCCCTTCCTATTTTGCTTAAATTTGCAACTTTATGCAGATTTTATAAAACATCTTGTGGTATCCCTAGAGCCTGGGCTCAGTTTCAGCCAAAGGCCAACTCAATTTATGCTGCTCCAGGAAGAATTGCGGTTTGGAAAAATTACCCAGCTGGCTCTCAAAAAAGTAACAACAGTTACCACTACATGGGCGCGGCGAGTCCTGTGACATGTGCCCAGCGCGTTGCAGTTTACAAAGGGCTTTCACACGTCATACCTCCTTAGTGTTCACTGTTACGACCATTTTATCCTTATTGTCCCATTCTACAGATTGTTGTAAAATGAAGCATCAAATAGTTAATGCATTGCCCTAGGTCACAGACCTACTAACTTACGGACCTGGAATTCCAAAGACTTTTGGCTCATCCAGGCACTCCATTCATTTATAAATTCATACTTCCTACGTGTACCAGGCACTGGGCCCTTTCTACCAGTGTTGCTTCCTTTATTCCTTTCTCCAGAAAGCGTTTGTTTATGTCCAATACCACTTATAAAATAAAGTGCTGCCAACTTCTCTTAAGCTCAAAAAAAGTTTCTTTGACAACAGACTTCCTAATCTAACCCCTCTTAGGTTAGCAATAGAAAATGAACTAAAATGACAGATTCTGAGATGTGTTTAGTAGAAAAGCTTTGGTTGTTTTGCTTATTTTTCAGGTCCTTAAAATTTTTTTAATGAAATAAAATATATATCCTGTAAAGTTACAAAACTTACATGTGCAGCTTGATTAGTTTTTACAAAAGCATAAATTGCAAAACAAACAAACAAAATTAACCACCACCCAGAGCAAAATATAAAACATTACCAGGATCTCAGAAACCTCCCTCTGGTAAGCGGTATTCACCTTTGAGTTAAAGACTTGCACTGGAACCTTGACAGGTTCACTTTCTTCTTGTGTGACTTTGACATTTTTTAAACCTCTTCAGGTCTTAGTCGAGCTATTTTTGAAAGTTGCTCTTGCTCTGTTTTGCTCATTTTTATCTCAGGTAAACACCTGGGGAATAATTAAAAATGAAAACGTGTCGGGGATGGTCAATGTATCAGCAGTACTTTTATGACTAAACTTGTTAATTTATCAGTCACGTGAAATCAGAATTTTGAGTGTGTCTGTAACAGGAGCATTGCCAGAGGATGCACTGAACCACACAGTGTTGGCCTGAGATTGTTTCATTACCAATCACCTGCCTGGCAACCAGACTAGATAACTGAGATGTGTGGTTGCCGTGGAGATGAGATGAGATGACATCATCGGACCACGTCTGTGTACGAGCATAGCCTCAGTTTCACAGGCCTTTTGCACAGGATCACGGGTGTACCCGGCGGTGTTGCTGCTGAAATAAAACCAAGGCATTGCCCTTTCGGAAGGGTTGATATCCTTGTGCTTGCGACCACGTACTATTTATTGAGCACTTACTATGTGTCAGGTACTATTCTGAGCATTTCTCAGACGTTATTTCATTTTATCCTCCCAACAGTCCTGCGAGGGTTATAATTCTCATTTTACACATTTAAAAACAAACAAACAAACAAACAAAAAAACACCCTGATGTTTTAAGAAATTAAACAGCCTTCCCTAGGTCTGCCTCCAAAACTTGTATTCTGAAACATCATACAGTATTGCCTCTCAGACACGGAAAGCGAAGTTACTGCTGTTAGTTTGAGAGAGTTTTAGTAATTTAAGGGGATCATTTTAGGGCTAGTGTCCTACCTAGTTACTCTGGCAAGCTAGGGAGATTTTGTTGACAGGCCTTAAACAGAGCTTGGAGAGGGTCTGTGCTTTTAAATTCTCAAGTCCGTGAACTTAGAGTGAGCTGGTCCCACTCACACCCAGCCCTCCAACCCTCTCTAGCTGGACATCATTAGTGCTGACCATGAAGGCAAAGGAAAACATACTTGAAAATATTTGGGGGGTTTTTTGGGTTGTTTTTGTCTTTTCTGTACTGAATGGTAACACAGAAAGTATGAAAAAAGTTTGAAATCACCCACAGGGAGTCATCCTGCAGGACCTCAGAAATTCAAGACAGTTTCTGCATCTTCCAAGGTACAAGACAGTAGAGGCTGGGGCCAGTCATGCTGTGTGACTGAAGGGGGTGGGGGCTGCAGAGGGCTGGGATGGGGTACAGTGGTCTAAAGCTGGTAAGGCTGCAGCTGGAGAGTGGAGCAGACAGCCACACCGCCCCACCCACAGGAAGAGCCGTTGCTCACCTTCACGGGGCATTTTCTTTTCTTTCTACATCTCATTCGGAAGGCGGCTTCAGGGCTGGGATGGCGCAGTGTGGGACGGCTCAAAGACGGGTGCATGGCCACGGAGAGCCTCTCCAAGGAGAGGATTTACGAACTGAGACCAGAGGGATGAGCTGAAGTTTTCATATTGAACACTCGGGACAGGCATCTTCAAACGTGCTCTCCCACACAGAACGTGGGCTCTGCACGCTGCACGAACCCCAACATCTGAAAAGGACAGGGCCTCCCCGCCTCCGGGAAAACCTCCCGTGGGAGTTTTCAAGAAGGCTTTTGTAATGTCTGAGTTTTATTGTATCAGATAACGTAGCAAGGAAAGTAGCATTAAAGAGCCTCCTTTCTGTGGGTCAGATGCAAGTGCCACTCACCGTGTCACTTGGCTCAGTATTTGCCACTTGTCTCATTATACTGGTAGGTCATCAGTGCTGTTACCCTAACTCAACAGAGGAGAAAACAGGAGATAAGAGAGTTGAGTCATCTGAGCTCATGCGGCCTGTGATTGGCAGCTGAGGATTTGCACCAGGTCTGTCTGTCTTCAAGGCACTGCCTTTTCTAGTCACCACTGGAGGAAGCTGGGCCACCAAGGCTGAGCATCTCTTTGAAATAGAGACGGGGTTGGGGGGTTGAGGGGTTGGGGGGGTGGGGGGGGGATAGCTCAGTGGTAGAGCGCATGCTTAGCAGGCATGAGGTCCCAGGTTCAATCCCCAGTGCCTTCGTTAAAGAAAAGAGAGAGAGACAACCTGGTTTGGTGATATCTTGTATAATAGCATTTGCCATATAAAATCACCTAATCCAGCAAGGAAACAAGTAGAAAACAAAGATCTACTTGATCACAAATTTCCCTCTGCTTTCAGTCAAAAGGATCAGCGTAGGACCCGAACAAGCCAAGTGTCCCGAGTTCCACAGTAAAGATAAGTAGGAGGCGTTAACAGAACACAAGCGTGAATCTTGAAGCAGAAACAGGAGTTTTCAAAGCAAGGAATTAGTAAGTGGTCTGTCAGATAAAAAGTGAGGTGTTCTCCTGAGAACTCAGAGGAGGCATTTAGAAGGACTTCCGGAAGTCTTCCTGGAAGAGGTGATATACCCGAAGAAGAAAGAGGACAGAACGTTCCTAAAGGGAATTCCATCTGCACAGGCCAGGGAACTTGATGGCTTGAAGAGCTAAAAGTCAAAGTGGTCGAGAGGACAAGGAGTTCTGAGACCTGAGAGAGGGGCAGGGGCTGGGTAAGTCGACTCGGAAGCCCCAGTGCAGGTCTTTATCCGGAGGGCAGATCTGTCAGGTGGATCCATTCAGAACCTTCCCTTCCTGCTCTGAGTGTGTCCAACAGTTTGGAGGCAGGGACACCACAGCCCCAGTGAGACCAGTTAGAGAAGTATCTCTCAAACTGTTTGGACAAACAAGATGCGTTTGACCAGTTACCTAGAATGAACACAGATCCAGATGCACACGAACGCACCGAAACCAGTGTCACAAAACCAAACTTACTTTTCTTTTGCTTGATGCACTGATGTTTTCTAATCCATTTCATCTTTTTTTTAAAGAGCAAAGCTGCATGGCCCACCTCAGCTGAGTTCATGACCCGTTCATAAGTCCAAGCGGTAGCTGGTGAACCGTGAATTAGGAAGTCACTGTCATCCTCAAGACATGAGAGGGGCTGGGGAAGCGGAAAGGTGGCTTGTAGGTGGCAGAAGGATTCCAGAAGGATTTAAAGGATAGAAGGGAAGGGCCCAAAGTAATGAGGGGTACCGTCCAGAGTTTTGGCTTGAACTGTGGGTAGAAAAAGGAGTCATTTGCTAAGTCAATGTTCTTGACTGGAAGATCTAACAGGAAGGTAAAGATACTGTGTGTTTGTGAAATGCCTATTTTGTTCCAATGTAGCCCTTAATTTGAGGCCTATCTGAAGAAAAGCCATCTAAAGGCGACATGAGTTGATTCCAGAAAGTGTTCAAGTTTTACTAAAAGAGGGAGCAAAAACAGTGGTGCCAGAAAGGAGGGACCCATCCACGGAGGTTGGGGCGCTCTGCCCTGCGCCTCACAATCCTCCTTAGAGAGAAGAACAGTTAAGGTATAAATCCTGAGGAAACGGCTCAGATCACAGACTCACCTGGTGTTTGCTGCGGCTGCCATGGGGCTTTTGTAAGGCTGAGAGCCGGGCAAGTATAGCCTTTGCCTTTTCGTTTAGCAAACCCGTTGGCAGGAGTTAACTGCTTTAGCAACAAAGTTGGCACCACTTTTAGAATTCCCAGCCACCAGTTCAGGAAGGCAGCGGGCATTTCAGAGGCACTTCTCGTAAAAATGAGAATCCATTAACTTTATTGCGAGCGCCCACTCTCGGACAGCATCGGGTCAAGGAACTTATCTGCTTCCTCTTTCATAGCTTCCCCAGTCTCAATCCGGCTCCTTCCAAATCTTTTATTTTACAAGACAATCGGACGGGGTGGTAGCCTGTGGCTAGGGGAAGATTTTGAACAATAGGTGTTTCTGAGCCGGGTTTACTGAAATGGACCCGTCTGGGTCCCGGGGGAGATTGTAAATGAGATGTCAACAGGCGCCCTTTTGTGTGGATGGCATTCAGCCTGAAAGGGAGGAATTTCCTTACTGTGCTAGTAGTTAAAGTAGATTTGCTGCTGCTTTGGCGAAAACTTTTTATCCGATGGCCTGAGCTAACAGCGTTGGGTGAGGCACTGGGCCCGCCTGCGACCTCCTTCCCTCCCTAGCCGGGCTCCGACGCGGTCATTTACATTTGGAAAGGACAGCTCCTGAGAAGATCGCTGGGACTTCCATCTGCTTGAGCCTCTTCCTCGGATCCTCACGCAGACCGAGCTGTCAGCAGCCGTCACCCCCAGGAGAGGGCAGCAGAGCCAGGCTGGCGGTGTCGGCCCTGGAAACTCCTGGCTGCTCTTTCTGCTCACTTCTTTTTTCAGTCCCAGGAGAGAAACAAACATCATCTCCTGCCTCCCTCCCCTCTCCCCCCTTTTTTAAACGACGGGCAACTTCAGTTTACTGTAATTACTGCAGGCTGAGGTTGGACTAACTCCGCCCCTAGAAGATAAGGCAACTGTTTTATTACCTCTCAGCCAGGTGCCCGAGGGTGACAAGACTTGCCTTTATCTGAGACCTGACAAGGTTATCAGCAACTGAAACAAGCTGAACCTTTGAGCAGTGGCCATTAAGACGCTTCCCTTCCAGATGACCCATTGCCCAACTCTTTATTGGAAGTTAATTTTGATCCAAAGAGCAGCGCTGGTTCCCGCCAGTGGCCCCGCTTTCCTGCGCCTTCGCACTTCAGCGATCCCTGCGCTGAGCGGTGTAAATGGCAACCTGCAGCCAATCCCACAACAAGAGTCTGAAATTCCAACCAGGGCGCCAGACAGACAGCCCACCCGATAGTTTACTATCCTCTCACTTGCGAGGCTGGCAGTGGGTAGAGCTGCTTTTTCAAAGAACTGATTGATATAATCTTTCACTGATGACAGTAGAAATCTGAAATAATCAAAATGTATTGCCTTTACTATCCATGGTTCCTTTTGAAAAATAAAATGTAACCCACACCAGGAGGCAGTGCTGTGCTTGTCTTAGAAAAAAATTCAGTGTGGAGGGTATAGCTGGGTGGTAGAGTGCTTGCTTAGCATGCACGAGGTCCTGGGTTCAATCCCCAGCACCCCCATTGAAATAAATAAATAAGTAAATAAGCCTAATTGCCCTCCCCCCAAAAAAGCACAACAAAACAGAATTCCCAGTGCTTGATCCATTTCTGTCTGCAGTTCACAGACACCTATGTCTAACCGACATGGTTTACTCTTTAGCTCAAGCTGTTTGACAGAACCTCAGTTAACTCTTAAGAAATGTGGGATAACAACTTTCATTCTGAAAATTATTTTCAGTGTGTGCTGAGCAGAGCTTTGGTGAATTGAGAATGTCCCTGCAGATACACTGTTAGCAGTGTCCTGAACTGCATCACGTGAGCAGGGCACCCAGCCTGGACCTCACAGGGAACCACCCTCCCGTCAGCACACAGGACTGCGGGCCACGGAGAATAATGTTGCTTTTATCTGCTGTGAGGTCAGACCATAGCTTGAGGGTA